GTATCGGTATCGGTGCATCCCTAGATGCAACCAAAGCGGTGTGCCACTTGTGCAGACGCAGATTTTGTTTTTGCTTTACATTACAATATAATATAATGTATATTATAATTCAGACACTGGCAACAAAAAATATTTCATCCTTTAAAAATAGGTTACATAATGCATACTTGAAGAAGTGAGCTCTGCAGCTTGTCTTCCACACATAGAATAAGGGTTGTTTTTGTTTTTTTAATTGTTTAATTTTGAGATTTTGACACCAGAATTACTTAAAACTTTTCAAGTGAATGTTTTACTTTTTGTAAGTCAGAGTGGGGAAGTATATTCTGGGCATGGTGGGTGGATATCATGGTGAGCTGGTGCTTAGCTAAGCCCAGATGACATCCACCAGGGACAAAGGAGGGTGGTGGTACCCCACTCTGTGCCCACCTGCCTACCTGGCCCTCCTCAACTTTTTGGCACTGTAAAAAAACAGCTCCAAGTCCTCCCTGTGTTCCAGCTGCCTCCGCCAAATCCAGCGCCAGGTCATCCCTCACCAGGCACAGCCAGGGAGGAGGCAGCACTGGCACGGACGCATGGAGGCTTGGAAGGCAGGGGAGTGAGAGAGGATGAGGACAGAGTAATATGATGCTGAAGGTGAACAGGGGGAAAAAAGAGCTGCTCATATATATTGACCAAAATGTATTTTTCAGCTCTTTAGAAAGTTAAGCCAATAAAGTCTTAATAACAAGACTGTTTTATATAAATACAGGGTGGCTGTTAATGTTCATTATAAGAGGCTATTGACCTATTATAGCAGACTTTTCTAGCATGTTGAGAAATCCCAGTTAAAGCCTAATTGCTAAACTATGATGCTCAACTTCCTGATGCACATTTCTTAATCAGAATTCAGAGATCACTTTGCTTTTTTATTTAAATGAAGTCTTAATATATGCCGCAGTTTTACCCCATCTTCTTAACACACAGCATCCTGCAGAGACTCCTGAATGCTCAGCTGACCTGCCAGTGCCACTAGCTATAAACTGGACAGCACAGGTAAGTAAATATACACAGCTGCACACACTGTCTGTCTAAAGAGGTTTTACTTCTGTTCAGTGAATGTCAAATGCTACTAGGTTGCTATATGTCACACTTTCGACCTTTGTTTCAGAAACATATCATCTAGAAGATTTAACTCACAACAAATATCTGACACATCAAAAAAAAAAAACTCCCAATATTTTAAATGTATGAAGTCAGTGAAAGCTGACTTAAAAAGCAATACCACAAGAATTCCTACTGACATCAGATTAAACCTTAAAATGCTAATTTGAGGGTCAAATATTAAAGTTTGTTTTAAAATAAAAACCTCTCAATACATTTCACACATTCTAACATTCTCGTGATTTCAGGCAAGATGAACTAGGATTAAATGTCTGCTAAGGATACACCATAATGCATTAAAACTGTTTGGTTAAACTTCAGGGTGTAATGTTTTTGTTTTGTTTGTTTTTAAATTTCATGCTTTTTATTTAATTTTAGTATAATTTATCCACCCATTCTTACTTTGTGGCAAAAGATCTTGAAGTTTGCAGTTCATTATGACATGTTCTAAAATTACTGAAGATTTACATTCACAGTAAAAGATAGTGAAATCCCAGACTACTGCGCACCCACTACTGGATTAGAATAAACGTGCGGATGACACATCCCCAATTTTTTTCATGTAAAAATTAATTCTAATAAAACCCAGGAACTGTGTAACGTCTGTAAATGTGCACAGATAAATTAAGCCAGTCAAACTCAATGTGCAAACACTAAGTAATAGGCCCTATTTATTAAACCAATGTATAACTAACTGTTAAAAATGAATATAAAAAAAACAACCAAGTGAACTTTCTTCGGATTTTGCTGCCCCCTCATTGTTATGCTTTCTAAAACTCAAGTGCAGTATTATTCGTGCATGAATCCATATAACAGTCACATTTAGTTTTATGATAGTAAGGTTTCGCACTTGTAGAAGTAGTGCTGGAACCGTAAACCAGGCATTAAAAGCCTGTAATAAACATCCAGTTACAGTATTTTAAAAACAGTTTTTCACAGGATGCAGTCCTGAGGAAAAACTAAGCACAACTTTACTGCTTTCATAGAAATTAAGAGGGTGAGTAGCAGCCAGGTGTTTCTAATCAATGCTCAATTAATTGATCATCAGCAAGAATTGGCCACCTTTACAGAAACAGAACTTTTGATACATTCGTGATCTTCCCAGGATTTACCTGAAAGTCACATCACGCAGTGGTCAGAGACAAAACAAAACTCGAGATAGACGTCAGACTCTGAGGCCTCATTTAACGTGTTAAAATTAATGATAGTACTGTTAGGAAAAGTCAGAACAAGATTGGCCTGTATTTGTATAGCACTTTACTAGTCCCTAAGGACCCCAAAGCGCTTTACACATCCAGTCATCCACCCATTCACACACTGGTGATGGTAAGCTACAATGTAGCCACAGCCACCCTGGGGCGCACTGACAGAGGCGAGGCTGCCGGACACTGGTGCCACCGGCCCCTCTGACCACCACCAGTAGGCAACGGGTGAAGTGTCTTGCCCAAGGACACAACGACCGACTGTCCAAGCCGGGGCTCGAACTGGCAACCTTCCGATTACAAGGCGAACTCCCAACTCTTGAGCTACGATCGCCCAAGATCGATTGGCTTGTTGGGAGGGTTGCCAAGAGAACCCTCTTCTAATTCTTTGTAAAATAAATTCTTTGTAAAAAAAAAAAAAAAACCAACCAAAAAACCCCAAAACAAATAAACAAAAGTAACATTGCTTAGGGTTGCAAATTTGCATCTGAACAAAGTAGAGACGTCTGAAACAGTGGTCTCTGGACATTGGAAGACATTAAAGAGGAGATGTTTGTTCATAATGCACAGCGCCATGTTTGTGCTCATATGCTGTTTGGTTTTGGTGGCGGTTGAGTAGTTGATGATTTGGGTTCATTTTGCAGCCACTGCACCTGAGCACCTTCTCATTTTTGAGTAAATTATGAACTGTATATCTCTAAGGATTTTAGATTCAAATGTGTGACTGACAGCTAAAGTTTGGCTAAGATTCAGTCATGCAACAGGGAAATGATCCCAAACACAGCAGTACATCTACAACAGAATGGCTGAAGAAGAAAAGTATCAAGCTGTTGCAATGATTTTGCAATGGTCAAAGTCCAGACTTACTTAAAGGAGTCGTGCATTCATATCCACAAACCTCCATGAACTGAAGAAATGCGGTAAGCATAAGTTGGACAAAATTCTTTTACAGCAATGTGAGAGGTTGATAAAGTCATACAGAAAATGTTAATGCTGCTTTACCCTGTCGAGGATACTTTGGTGCATGGGAGTTTGTCCAAGCAGTCTACATGTGTTTGGTGTACAACCATTGCAAGAGCTTGGGCCACATAGCCACAATAAGTTGGACTCGTTCCCGTTGGGTGTTAGACTCCACCAGGGCTCCCCTTTGTCACCGATTCTGTTGATAATTTTTATGGAAGCAAAGCTCTTGATTTACCGGTTGATGTATGTGGAAATGAGCTTTCTCCAAAGGGTGGCTGACCTCTCCCTTAGAGATGGGGTGAGGAAGTTGGGCCATCCAAGAGGGGCTCAGGATAGACATCGAAAGGAGCCAGTTGAGGTGGTTCCGGCATGTAACAAGGATGCCCCCTGGGCGCGGTATTCTGGGCATTTCACACTGGGAGAAGGGCCCTGGAGCAAACCCAGGACACGTGTGAGAGATTATATCTCTCGGCTGGCCTGGGAATGCCTTGGTGCCCCCCTGGATAAACTGGAGGAGGTGGCCGTTGAGAAGGAGGTTTGGGCTTCTGTTCTTAGGCTGCTGTCCCCACGACCCGCCCCAGAAAAAATGGATGGATTGATGAATCGATATTGGTATTAAATTGGTTCTATAAGCTATTGAATTATGTGGTCTACTTAGTTTTTTACAGGGATGCATAGAATCCTGTGAATAACTTATGTGACTGTGTAATGTCACAAGAATCGGGATTTTACATGGCGTGTGTGTGTGTGTGTGTGTCAGTGTTTTTGTAATTGATATTTTAGAAATTCTTTATTGTTGTCAGAGTTTTGTACTGTAATGTATTGAGGCTCTCGGAGACTCAAACTCTGATTAAGGACTACACTGATCCACTTGACTCATCTTCGGCTGCATATTGCATAATTTGACAAAACACATCTCCACCTGCTCTATTAAGACATTTTCTTTCAGCCCCTCAAATTTAGTCCACTATAATTGGCATAAAAGTGCTTTGATGTAAAACCAGCTGTGGACTCTTTGTATTTCTTTGGCTCCTCATTATTGTTGTTTGCCGTCTTTCTTCTTTCACTCTGGTGCTGCTTTTTATCTCCGTCACTGCC